CATCAACACTATCAATTCCCTTTACAATATTAAACACCTCAATCATATTCCCTCTAACTCTTCTTTTTCAAGAAAAAACAATTTCAGAGATCTTAACCTCTTCTCGTACGACAACACTTAAGGCATCATTCTAGTAGCCCTCCTCTGAACCCTTTTCAACAATTCAATGTCTTTCTTAATGTAAGGACCCCAAGACTGAACATGATACTCCAAATGTGGCCTAACCAGTGACCTATACAATGAAATTATAACCTCTTTAGACCTGTATTCAATATTTTTATAGATACAACCTAAAATCCTATTTGCCCTACAACTAGCAACAACACACTGCTTGGATGGCTTAAAAAACTAATCAACCACTACACCAAGATCACTTTCCTTCATAACACTATTAAGGTTATGTCCATCCAAATTATACTTATAATTCAAATTATGATAACCCACATGCATTACCTTGCATTTATTATAATTAAAACCCATTTACTATTTATTCGCCCAACTCACTAAATGATCTAAATCCTTTTGTAAAGCAGCAGCATCCTCCTCACAATCATCAACACCCAAGATCTTAATATCATCAGTAAATTTAAGTAATTTAGTGATTAATTTTTCATATATTTCATTGATGTAAATCAAAAATAGCAAAGATCCTGAAACTGAGTCCTATGGCACCCCTCTTTGACAATAAGCCAGTTTGACCGAACTCCATTTATAGCAGCCCTCTGCTTTCTTTCATCCAGCTACTCTTTTATTCAATTAGCTAACTTATCTTCCACACCTATATAGATAATTTTATGTGTAACTTATCAGATGCTTTCTGAAAATTCAGATACATCAAATATACACACTTACCCTCATCATAAGCAGCAACCAGTTCAAAGAATGTCAAAATATTTATAAGGCAAGATTTTCCATTAGTGAAACCATGTTGACTATCCAATAAAATTCTAAAATTGTTAAATGACTTTGAAAAACATCTTTCATCAGACTTTCCATAACTTTTCCCACAACTGATGTAAGACTAATGGGTCTGTAATTACTGGGACAGTTTTTATTATCTCCCTTGAAAAGAGAAATAACATTAGCTATTCAGGGACTTACAAAAAATAGTAGCAAGTGGCTCACATATCCAATCTTTAACCTTCTTCAAAACCCTTGGAGAAATATTGTCTGGCCCAATAGCCTTATCATTCTTTAAACTTCCCATTTTTTGACCCAGTTCAGAATTAATGTGATCATCTCGTTCTATTTTCGTCTATTAACTGTTCAAGATGAGGAATATTGCTTAAATCTTCATTAGTAAAAACTGAAGAAAAAGTAGAATTTAATAACCCAGCCATCTCATAATCATCAGAACGAGCTTTCCTTTATCATCCGTCAAAGGTCCTACCACCATTCTAACATTTTGTTTACCCTTAATGTATTAAAAAAAATCCATACTACAAATTTTGACATTTTCAGCCAACATTTTTCACACATCTTTTTGATGTCCTAATTTCCTGTTTGACCAGCTTTGTTTATTTCCTGTAATATTCTAAATCTCCCGTCATACCAGTCAATTTAAATTTCTTAAATGTGTGATGCTTTTCTTTAGTTTAATCCGGTATAACTTTTGTAAGCCAACATGATTTTTTACTTGCAGCCACCTTCTCCTTTGTGCAAAGAATGTATTTATCTTGAATCTTTACAAAATTCACCCATTTGATCAGTGTCTCCGTATAATTTATCTGCCCAATTCACAACAGATAATTCTTGTCACATTCCTCCAAAATTTGCTTATTTGAAATTTGTAACCAAAATATCATTGTTCCTCATCTCCCAATGCAGGAAAACATCGAACCTAATAGAAGAATGATCACTTACCTAGATATTCCCCAATTTCCACCCTCTCAACCATTTCTGTATTTGAAGTTAACAATAAATCTAAAATAGCATTGTTTCTAATAGGTTCCTTGACAATTGGTGAAGAAAACCACCTTGAACAGTTTCCAAAAAAACTTATGGTTTGACTCTTAACATAATTATGACTTCACTAATAACTGATATCTTAATCTCACTGTAAAGTTTCTCACTAATTTCATCAGTTAATATGGTTGTCTGTAACAAATTGCCAATAAAAGTCTTTTCCTTTTATATCTCCTAATAGAAACCCAAATGAATCCAGTCTCCTTGCTATTATATTTGATATCCTTAACTTCAACTCACATTTTAGATATAAAGCCAATCCTCCCCCTCTTTTTAGTACTCAATCCCTATTAAATAAACTATAACCCTGTATTTCCAAGAAATTTCTGTCATCAAAGTAGTCTGCATTTAACCATGTTTCAGTTATTTCCATTATATCAAAATCCTCCGTTCCTACCAGCGCTCTAAATAAGAAACCTTGTATTTTCCAGACAAATCTTTAAGATCTTATGAATATACGAAATCAATTTTATTTACTTATATTTTTGGAAAACGTGTGTTTATCTCCTCCGTAATGGAAACTGTAATGAGAGGTGATAAAGTCCATGCAATAAATGATTGACCTTCCCGAAGTATAATATATTTGATATCCATCTTCGGAATATAAGCAATAAAATACCTAAATCATCACTTCACATGACTAGAGGTTTCAGACAGTCATAACTAACGCTATCTGAGCACGTACGCAGCACGTGCTTGACTCTGTAAATCATAACTACGATATTCTCGTTTGAAGACGTACTTACCATTTGTAACTGTTTAGACTTATTATCTATCAAACTAAGCTTATACCTAATTGATAATACTACCTTTGTTTGTGGATGACTTGTATGTGAGTTTTACAACTTTACACTAGTTTTAAATTGTACTAAAACGTTTAACGTCAACAAGAAGGTGGTACAATTAACATGAAACAAATGAAAATAATAATGAACACGTAATAATATAACTAGATCTATTTATCAATTTAGTAATATTAATCTGTAAAACATCAGTCAAATCAAAGTCAGATTCGTCTCAGATGGTTGTTCTTTTATTTCTTGTTTTTTTAAGTTAAGCACAAAGTTACACGATGGGCTATCTATGCTCTGCCCACCACGGGTATCGAAATCCGGTTTTTGGCGTTATAAGTCCACAGACATATCGCAGAGCCATTGGAGGTCCGTCTCAGATGAAACTCACTTATTGTTTAAACTTAACAAAATCATAGCTTCGATGCTTATTCTGTGATTCATAGGACAGTATTTCAGCAAAGTACAACAAAGGATGAGACGTAAAATAAAAGAATTCTGGTGTGTTTCCTTTGTAAACACTCTACTTAAACATTTAAATTTAGCTGGAATATTCTACTCCTTTTTTATAATGATCTCTGTGTAAGTAGTGGAATGTTTACTTAATTATTGGGCATAGGACCAAGTTTACACTATACAGTTAGGCCTCTATCATTACCGACGGTTTTGATGATGTCTTACTTAATTTTTCGTCGAAATGACTCAAATTACAAACGGTGCATCATAAAAAATGTTTTTAGCGATTGCTAATATTAAGAACTTTAAATTCGCCGCTGTAAACTGTTGAAAAATATAGATAAAGAACAGTGATTCGTCTATTATTTCACCATATCAACTTTCACGATATTTCTTTTCTTGCCAAGAGAGAACTGTCAAGAGCACCATCAACACGTGGTAACCGTTATTATTATTCATATGCGAGCACACTCAAGGCCAAACTTCATCATTAACTTGAAACCGAGGAAAAAAGAAAGAAAAACAGTCAAAACTGTGGCGAAGTATGAAATTAAACGTAGCCAGGAGAGGAAGTAAATCGTTAATTAATTCACAGTATAATTATTATTTAGAACATCCAAAATGTGGTCGTAGTCAAATGCTAAATCTAGCCTGAGCTGAAACCTTTTGTTGCAGGGTCAATTGTCTTATGTGATAATTGTTGTTGTTTTTTTGTCCTTCTTTACCTTTTGTACAGGAGACTGTTTTTTGACTGTCACATGGAGTAGAAATATTTATTTACATTGTGTACAGAAGACTGTTTTATGACTGTCACGTGGAGTAGAAATAATTCTTTACTTTGTGTACAGAAGACTGTTTTATGACTGTCACGTGGAGTAGAAATATTTCTTTACCTTGTGTACAGAAGACTGTTTTATGACTGTCACGTGGAGTAGAAATATTTCTTTACTTTGTGTATAGAAGACTGTTTTATGACTGTCACGTGGAGTAGAAATATTTCTTTACTTTTTGTACAGAAGACTATTTTATGACTGTCACGTGGAGTACAAATATTTCTTTACTTTGTGTATAGAAGACTGTTTTATGACTGTCACATGAGTAGAAATATTTCTTTACTTTGTGTATAGAAGACTGTTTTATGACTGTCACGTGGAGTAGAAATATTCCAGAATTTTTGTGATTTTTCTTCTTGATTGGGCAACTACATTTTATTCGCTCTAAACACAAAGCTGCACAATGGGCTACCTACGCTGTGCCTATCATAGGGATCGAATACAGATGTTAAGGTTATAAACCCTGATAATGGATTTAAGTGAGTTTGGAATTTTCAGAAAGATTTGTTCTGGTTTGAAGGGATTCAAGTCTCGTTGTGAAAATCTCTTCTTTCTTTGTTTCTATGTTAGTGGTTTGAGCAAACAATAATAAATCAGAGATAGAAAGAAGTCACGTGACGCTCTTCTAACGTATGTGATTTGTCAAGTACGTGTACACTGTACGCTGAAGGTCACACTGTTTCCTCACCCTTGTTTTTAGACCATTTCAATGCTTACATTTCCTTGGCGTCATTAGATTACGGAATGAGCCTCTATAGTCGAAACAGCTTATTTTCAGTGCTTATTTTTTAAAGCTAAAACGTTGCTACAAACATGAGTGGCTTCACATGTTTTATTCTCATTGAATTAATAAAGAAGATTTACTTAAATCATGTCATGAATGACCAAAAACATTATCAATAGTATAAGTTATATGTCATTCAACATCACTATTTTGTAAATATAAAATAATGCGTTAAAGGTAAAAAGTTCCCCAGTATTTTGCGGTAACTGATAAATTATATAAGAAACATATGTGGGTTGTGTTAGGAATATCTGTACTAGTAGTGGCTGACTGTTGAGTTCCTGTGAAAAAAATCAGATACTTGTGTAACATTCCAAGGTTAATTCTTTGACCGAAAAATTAACGTAAATGGTTTAGGAATGATGCAAGTGTATGTCTTAAATGTTAAAAATATAGATCAATATTTGATAAAAGTCTGTGTGTTTGTCCTCTTATAAATGGCGACCTGGTGGAACGATTTACACCAAACCTGGTACGTATCCTTACAGCCCCCCCCGGGAGGTAGTATTAAGAAGTCGGAGTTTAAAACTTTTTCCCCTGTGTCACCACCGAGGGTCTCCATACTATAGTAATTAAGTATGGTGTCAATGATGTTTTAGCAGTTATATATTGTAAACGTAAGAATAAAGTTTAAGCTGGACGTGAATAATTTCTTTCGTTAATATAATGGTGGTTTTTGAGCTTAAAATTAACATAAATTACTTTCTGGAAATGATTTGAGATTCAATCTAATTATAAAAACTAACTTCACTGTTTTTTTGTAGTGATTTCATTTTAATGCTGAATAGCATTTTTGTACTCATGTACGGGTGGTTCTTAAGATTAAAATGAACTCAAAAACTTTTGGTAATGATGTAAGAATGAGTATCTAGCCTAAAAAATAACGACAGTTAAATCTTCGTAGTGATGTAATACTGGATCACAAGACTTGAGAATAACGCGAATAATATTATTGCATTCATGTACTGGTAGCTCTCAACATGAATGAAATTTGTGTGTTGGTGTGATGTAGGTTCATAAGCTTAAAAATCAATGTAAAGAACATCTGTTAATGATAAGGCTGGGTCTAAAATCCGAGAGGGAACATCGGCAATATTTTTATAATGATATAAACATGGTTAGTTCCCAAGCTTATTAATTTATCTATGTAATGTTTATTATGTGATGTTGCAAGGGTAATTTGAAAGTCCTACTTTATCTTACAATCACTAAAATACTGGTACTGCCATATATTATGTTATTATTATTTATTAGAAAATCTATGTATGTTTTTAAGCCAGATCTGGACGTTACCAAAGTGTTAGCGAGTCTGACAGCATATTGTTGCGTCATCGAGATCATGTGATTCTCACGCTCTCTACTTTCTAGAATTATCCTATACTTTGGCGAATGTTCCAGTTATTACTAGATATAGGGTAGGCGGGTATATATAAGAGGGGACAACGTGACGCGGTAAGGTAATGTGTGCGTAGATAGTGAGTAATTGAACTGCAGTCAGAAGTATTATTGGCGTTCGTTGTTATAGCGTTTGTTTAGCGCGATTGTTGAAGTTGAGTGTATCGGTAAAGTTATATTCGGAAAGAATAAACCAGTTTTATTAAGTAAAGACTTGTGTCGTTAAAATTTCGTTGGAACGAAGTTACGGAAAGTTAATTAACAAACGGAGACATAACAATATCAATAAATCCAGAATTCAGGCGTAATGAACTGTAGTGCAGGACAAATCTTTAAATTTACGGCACAAAATAGCACAGGATCAACACTAAATATCTGCCAAATTTGGTTAGCTTTAGAGTAAGTGGGAAGGGAGGGCTAAATTCACAAACCTTTTGTCGGGCTCTTTTAATGGAATAACGAGATTGGTTGTCATTTTATAATGGGCCCACGGATGGAAATGTTGAGTGTGTCAGCGGATAGGAGAGATACTCTCTCCGACCTAGAGCTTTCACTAGCTATGTCTAATTTGAAAATAAACAAAAGCTGTTTAGAGTAGTTGATGAAGAGATGAAAACAATAAAATTTGAAATATAAAATATATTTTTGAGTATCATTATTTTTAGTACGATTATACAGTCCCATTTGATTTCTTCTTTTATATTATATTTACTAAATATGTACGGAGTGTCGCGTGGATTCGAGTCAGTGTGTGTGGAGGATTATAATGAAGTTACCTCCACACAATGAATATGCCATAAGTTTAGTCGTAGTGCAGCACATATTCTGAAAGTTTCGGCTAAATACAGCTCAGATTCAGCATGCTAAGTTTCATATGGATGAAAGTCGGTGGGGGTGCTGGAGTACATTTAGTTCCCGACAAAGATTGCTCCATAAATCTCTAGTCTTCATTTCAGCAGCTGCTCTCTCCTCTCAACCATAAGTTCTACATGGTTTTGGAAAGTGTCATTCCATGAACACGACTTTAAGTGTTTCATTACCCAGAGTCAGTTAGAAAAAAGAATCACATTCAATATAACTCTTCAATAACAAATCCTTTGGTCCTGTTCACTTTTAAATATTCTGTGGTATTTAGGTCCAATGATAGCTCAAATATAAGTTCAAAAGTATCCACACAATTCAGATTCCAGAATGTTCCAGGAAATAAATCGAAAGGAAAAAAAAACATAAGTGAACAAATATACAAAATCTTTACTCACAGTGAACAATGTGTTCTCAAGTTCTTACTTATTGGCGGGTCTTTAATTTTGATGGGACATTATCTGGTGTTGGGGTTGAGAGGAGTCTTTCTTTGAAACGTCCACATGGACAAAGGCAAAAAGGATTTTACTTTACTGCCAAAAATTCCAAGTAGATTTTAGAGTGTGGTATACCAGAATTCAAAGCTGCATACGCCACCAACTATTACAAGTAACATTTATAGGGAATAAAATCATAATTCCTATCTATTTTTACAAGTATTTGAACCATACATTTAGGTGAGCTCTCCCATCTCCATGGGACTCAGACACAAAACCAAAATGATACGAATATCTTGCCATTGGCGCAACTTTACTTCAGTAGGAGAATTAATACATGTTTACGACTTTTCGACATCCGTTAATGACGTCACATTAGATGCAGAACACTTCCATGAAAATATGGAAAAATTACTCGAATAAACCTGCCTAAATATACACTCTAAACTAGTTATGGAACGGTGAAATTCCTGATTATTTCAGTCCATGCATAGTTATGCGTGAAATTCTACAAAAATAAGGAAATTTTAACCTCTAATTCTAAATCGAGAGTAGAATATCCGCGAATCGAAATCCTGCGTAATACTCATGAGAGAAGCAACTGAAAGTAGCATTTGTCCTATACCAGCTCATTACTATAAGTATAATAAACAGATAAAACGTTAACCTTCTTTTACTTTGAAAAGACGCACACCTTTGGAAATGACACATGTATACCTTGTACTGTCTTGTTGCCAATATTAATTTTTAGCTATTTTATGATTTTGATTTTGAGTAATAAAAAGTAGCTATTAATTTGCAGTTAGAAAAATATGTTTTTTTTTTTAATTCAACTGTCTTTTCTGTCTGTATTCTTTGTAAACAATGGACAAGTAATTATTTAAAAAACTGGAAAATAAAATAAAATCACGTGCTAAATGTCAAGCAAATGGCTGCTTTTCCATATTTTAAGCAGATATTTACCATAAGCTATCAGATATTTAATGTTTAGCTTTAAACGTATTCAGAAATTAATATTAATTATGTATTACACTAACAGATGGCATTGCGGGAAAACCATATTTCACTTGTGGCTGTTGTCAATTCATCTAAGCTAAATGAGTTTTATATTTTACTTTTAACATTGCACAACGTAAGACACCGCCATGACAATACTCTAACTTATTTCCCCTTCTCATTCAGTATTAGAAGCAGATAATTTTGCAAGGACTTTGCTCTGTTCGCAAAAACCATACGAGGGGGAGCAATTGGCAATTTGTGAAGTCACGGATCCTTCCAGGAATCAATATCGGTGATTTAGTTTTACAGTAATACTGTACAAGACTGGCTCACCGATTTGGCAACTACACTATGTGAATAGTTTACTTTGGTGTGGACGAATGTTTGGTAGCTCTATGATGTTGAATGTTAGATGCAACTTGAACATTTCTTTATTTTTCGGTTGTGTTTCTGAAAACAAAAATATCTCCTGTCGAACAGAAAAAAGACAAATATATATCAAGAAAGCAACAGTTGTTTAAACATCTTTAGTCCTGATACAACTAAGGATAACTATCACCCGAAACATAACAAATAAAACATTTGAGTAGATGCTAACATCGCCATTGAGTAAAATTCCAGCCAAGCGGAACCCTTTGACAAGCATATTCCACTTGCTGAATAGATTGTTTCTTCTCCATAAATACAACTTCTGTCACTATCAAAAATAAGAGAAATACAAGTCATAGAACATCCATAGAACTTTAATGAACAAAATAGGATGTGGTTAGAATGCAAATTCCTTTCAACAGTGTCAAGGGCATAGTCCAACGATAGTCGTGAGAGAGATGTCAGTTCACCTCTGTTCTGGAGACTCTACTTTCTATCACAATGAATATACGATAAATTTAATTGGGCTATAAGATTTATTTACTTCTGCTCACAGAGTAGCTAAAAGAATCAGGTAGTTGTGGTATACGTGTGTAATAAACCATACTTTCCTATAAATATAAGCTAAATTTTGATGCAATAGTTTCATTGGGAACCAAAATATCTGTTGTAGATTACATGTAAACATAGTCCTAGGTGGATAACCTTTATAGTTGGTCCTGACTTAAGTTGTCTCTACTATCTCATCAATCATTGGGACTTTTATGGGCCATGCTTAACCATCTGATGCAACCTGGCTTTAGGGAATTGGAGTTTTAGAGCTGTAAATAACTAGATCAGCCTGATTGTGATTGTCTCAACTATCAGAAGCAATGTTGCTCTTAGGATAAGGGTAAGAATTTCATAAGACTATTTATACTTCACAGAATAAAGACTGATCTTGCAATTGTTTCTTTCTTGTCTAGAATCATCTCTTTTTGTAACATGTGGTGTGTGTCTTGTAGTGATATGATCTCACAAATGGCCTCATTGACATTCCATAACACTAACAGTTATTTTCTTACACTTCATCATGTATGAACTATTAGCTCGTCAATGGACTTATACATCATTGGGTATAGAATACTTTTTATTTCTGAACCATAGAGCTTGATATCTTGCTATTAGAATTTGATAACACAAGAATAAGTTCTAACTTCTTTTATTAATTGTTTTATTTA